TACAATATTTATAATTTATAAATGCAAAGTTAAGACCTCTTTAAATTATTGCACTTGCGCAATTTACAAAGAATTTTATGTGTCATACATATAAAATAATCGTTTTTAAATTTGCTCACTCATCAACTATAATGAAATTGGATATCTTTAACTTGAAACTCTTTCTCCTTCCACAAGAGAGCCCATTAAAACTTTAGACAGAGATCCATCGCCTCTACAAATCGGTTTATTAAGCGTGTTGTGTTTTCGACAGCTTGTAACCCATCTTCCACCCTAGTGGTCTGGGGTCAGCAAGATCACGGCCAGCAAACTCTTCGGTACTGTGACTAGGTAGGGATATAGGATCTCTTTTACTCATAAGGACTTGTAAAGAAAGCCACCTTTTCAGAAAGTTTCAAGATGCTGCATGTCTATTAAGTTTTGGTAACTTTCACAGTGTTTTGGGCAAGCACATTTCACTTGGGTCACTGGGTCGGGTCTGGTGAATAGGCAGGGGCATTGTACAGAAATACCTTCTACAAAGAAATCTATCGTCCTTACAATGTGCACACCAAATGGATATGTAGACTATACACCACACAACAGATCATATGGGAAATAACACTGCCGATCTGGCATTTACATCGGCTGTTTGAGATCTGGCACGGGACTCTGGGTTATCATTCAAGTGGCTAAAGAAAAAGAAAGAAACGAAAGTTGCAACGCCCATGGTCTAATAATATTTCAGGTGAGCTCGAGTACCAGATGATGTGCATTTAAACCTTCACTTGCAGGAATAAAAATGTTCCATTTAAACTTCTGCAAATATACAGCACTTCAGAACTATCGGCTGACGCTCAATACGTGTGAACTCACATCTCTACTCGCCACCGCGGATTGGGCTCTAAGGTGGGTCCAGGGTCCTCAGATGACACTAATCTACGCCCTGGGAGAGGCACGCTTGGGTCTGCACGCGTTCAGGGACCATTTCCTGACCTTTGCTGTGACGCTGGTCACAATATACACCGGGTAGACCGCACTGTGGTCCACCGCGGGGTCGAGGGCGGAACATCTAGCAGATGAGTGAAGACTGCGGTGCTTCTGTGAATTTTAAATTTTGTTTCTTCGGGAACATTCACGTCTTTTCCTTGGTCCCATCCCTTTGATTGAACCCGAACACCACTGAAACGGTTTTCTTTCTTTTTTGCTATTTTTACCATCACAGAAACGCATCGAATGCTTCCGACAACCAAAATATCCCGTACAAAAGAGACAAAACACAAAAAGAGTAGAGTACTGCGTTGGGGACCACGGATTTAAACTTAAGATGAAGGGTTTAAAGAGATCGGCAGAATGTGTATCAGGGTAAATACTTAAGCAAAGGTAAAATAGAACAGCCACGTACTGGGGGAGGTGGGTTGGGGGGGTTCAAGAACTGATAACGTACTCGGCTAATTTACATCTTGCAAGGTGTTAAAGCCAGGCTGATACTTGCAGTAAAAGGGGTACACCAATGTGACGAAACGAAGAAGTCTTTCCAGAGTTAAGCCCTAAGTAAAATCAGCACAGTGTAGAAAGCAAACACGTGTCCGAAATAGAGATAGAAGTGATTTTCAAGATCCAAGTCATGCATATGTACCTGAAACCCGACGACATCACACATAATCGTGTGATCATTGTGGCACAGTTCTTGAAAATGGTCGCAAAAAAGCCTTCGTCGGCACGGCTCCTTGGTTCTGTCATGACGGTATGTATGAAGGACATCAAACAAAGGACAGAAATCTGAGGAGGAGAGAATGGTCCTATTCATTCAGTTTGATCAAATTAACTAGAGATGTGTCCCTTTAAATGTTTTTAATTATAATCAAGCAAGAGAAGCAAAATGATAAATATATGAACAAAGAAGTAAGATCACAGAGTTTAAAATAAAGGCACAGGCCAAGGCATGGTGAAGAATTTAGTCCTATTAAAGCTCAAACCTTAATGTTGGGTTCAAAGACCAGAAACGTAACATCCAAAGTAGATCTGCTGAGAAATCCAGGTAGCTAAGGATTGTGTGCATCTATGGGTACCACGTACAAACATGGCTAGTATGGCCCAAACATACCGATAAAGCAAAATTCACGGAGATTGTACAAAATTAAAATAAAAGAATCTAAAGCTATCTAAAAAGCATGCTCAAAAGAGGAAACCTACGCTGAAGAAATCCAGTTTCCGTAGTTCTGTCGTCGTCACTGTGAGAACATGTCACCTCGAGTGGCACTGTATCATTTGCACAGACGCTTTCCCAGTGAGGGAAGGGTCCAGAATGAGGATGGCTGTGCCGAGTAGTTCATGTTCGCCTCGTCTCGGTGACCCTGACAAGCCTAATAGAGTGATGAGGCCTGGGAAGTGGACCGTGACCCTGCCCAGTAGTAAAAGGGCCATTTTTGAGACTTACTTTCCACATCCATTATGTCTAATAAATTTTTCTAATTAATTAAACCAAAGTCAACTATTAATTAATCAGATGCTTACAATTTTTAGAATTTTATTCCATGGCCTAAGTTCAATATTTCATGTTGTTGGCATGCATTGCCAAGAACACTTCTAGTTCAAAAATATATTCAGTATCTCTGGGAAGATAATGTACGAATTGCATTTGACAATGAAGCTGTGTCTAGTATAAATCAGCACGACCGATAACAATTTCCACGAATCGAACATTCTCCATATACTCCCAGCTGGTTACCAAATTTATATGGAGGGAAATTTTGGTCCAACATGAAATACCACCTTAATGAGAAACTTGTCAAAACTTCTGGTAATCAAAACCATCTGCCCTTTGAAGAAAAGATCTGGGAGAAAGATGAGAACAGAACTCAAAAGTTTGTCTGCTAAGTATATCTGCCAACATATAAAAACACTCCTAAGTACATTGTTTTCCAAAGCAGATCATTGACTAAATATCACTGCATCTTGGGCCCATTTTAGGTAAATCTATGATTCCTAAGTAGTCCTAAGGAATATTAATAGTTTATGTTAGAATATAGTCCTTTGTTCAAACTTTGATTAGGATGATACCTTAGGAGAAATCAACAAACCAAGAGATCCATGTATATTTTTTTGGAAAACTGTTCAAAGTACACATTACATCACATAATCCACCTGGCTATGCCAGAATAAGAGAATTTTCTGCAATAATCTTAGAATAGCAATCTTAACATGCAAAAATAGCCAGAGGATTCCTTCCCCTCATGACTGTTTTCTATTATCAAAAAGCAAAATTCACGCATTCTTTTAAGATCCTTTTAAGTAAACAATCTTAAATGGTACTTCCTAACCCCCTGAATTTCAGGCTTCGAGTTAAAAGGTTTCTATACTAATTTTTGTGATCGAGGTTCAATTTGGTGGGTGCAGTTTCATAAATGTGGGTGTGGAAAAACGTGCAACACTTTAGAATTCAATTTTATAAATGCACTAACATGAAAAGGGACATTTTCTAGTCAGCAGCTCCTTATCAAACAATATGCATTTTGCAACACACACACATCAGGTTTTGAAGAATGGGGCCCGTGTTCACTTCTTATAGATGTTTTTGCACCTCTCCCTCTGATACATATGTCCTTTCATACATGCGTGTATAACTATCTACGTGTGTGTGTGTGTGTGTGTGTGTGTGTGTGTGTGTGTGTGTGTCTAGCTACAGGGCTATTTCTCTCGTCAACTATGTCATTTTACCTCAGACTGTAGAATTCAATAGCAAGTGGAGTTCCATGTAGGGAAGATAGTAACTTTCAAAAGCCCACAGGGAAATTGAACACATAGTGTTAATTTTAAAGTAAGAAGTGTTTATATATAACTAACTCTTCTACAACACAAATCATGTTGTAGAAACATCTGATTTTTTTTTTTGCAAAAGCCATATGGATAACGATGTGTACACTATTGAATATGTAAAAGAATATTTAAAAAATGTATTTCATTAAAGGTAATATTCCAGCTTCCTGCCACATGAATAGTGGATGGACTATGTATTATGAGTCAGCCTACCACGTCTTCAGACTCTAATTCCTTCAGGTCAGGGCTGACCACAGCTTTGGAGGTGACCTTGCCATTGCATTGAGCTACAAATCTTTACAGCATTAATGTGCTCCTGAAGTGACTGGCTTCTAATCCCTGTACGAAGGGGCCCAGACTCTTGTGTATTCTTTAAAATGTTTGCGTTATAGAGTACTAATAGTCCACCCAAAATTATACAGAAGAAACTCTCCAGACCACAGGTTGCTATCTGGTTACTTGACCTCGAGCAGAGGCAAGAGAACGGAGGTAAAGCCCCGAAGCATTCAGACTGCGTTCGACTTCCTCGTCACGGATGGAGGGCTTGGGAAGTGGGACTGAGGAGCATGAAAGGGGGAAGCACAGGAGGTGGGCAGCAGATCAAAGTAAAAATTACACACGACTGAAATTTTATGGTTTAATTTGATTTTGAGAGAAACGTATGGTATTTTAATTAAATAATCCGTAAACCTCTCATTTTGAGTGTGAGTCTAAAAGTTTGCAACGACACCAAGTGAAAATATAAAGAAATCATTATTAAAATTCACATTTTACATCCCATAAGACCTGTCTGTTAAGAAGAATTCATGTCTTGCTTCTCTTTTGTTCTTTATGTGAAGGGTTTAGAAAATTTGCCTACGAGGGCACAAAAAACTTAAAAAATATTCTTTGCCAGTTTTTAGATGGATACTTGGCGTTCTGAGATTTATTACGGTGTACGCCTTCTTCCCTTCTCAGGACGATGGAAAGTCTGCCTCCTTCAGTGTGCAACCCACTCACCGAAGCCCTTTCGTATAAACGTACAGAGCACACTTCCGTCCCCCTAAACTTTCAATTCTCGAGGTCCTGAAACAAGCATGTGACTACGCTCCACCACTGATTGCACTTCTTACGCCGTCACCTCAAGGATACTTGTCCCGAGGCAGTCTGCTACACTTCACGCTAATCACGAGTAGGTCACACACGAACATTCACGAGAGTAATATGTAAAAATTCCTATTTATAACCAACAACATCAAAGCAACATGGGTGTTAAAGCCAAAGTACAATATCATAATAGTACCACGTTCACCCCTCCTTACGAAGATACAGCGGAAAAGTACCCCCTTCTGAATAACTGTTGTCCTTTTCCATTAAGGCCTCAGCAGTATGAGCCCATTAGAGAAGGCCTGGTCACAGGTCACGTGGGGTCGCGCGTGGCCAGCTGCTCTGGTCACGGGGTGGTCCTGGCCGATTGTCGTCCACGAAGCGTTACAGACGAGCCTGGCAGGGAGCCATCCGCTTGCCGTGTTTCCTGATGGAAGCTTCTCGAAGAGGCTTGCAGCCGAGTTACCAGGTGTAGGTTTCCTCCCACGAAAATAAAAGGAAGAAAAGTCAGAGAAGCAAGACGGGCGTCTTCGGTGGGGCAGCTGGTCAAGCAGCGGTCAGTCTTCTGTCTTTGCCAGTGGCTTGTCGGACGGCGCATGGGCCCCCGGCTGGGATGAGATCCACACGGCACTCTCCTCCCCTCGGATCACCTTCTCCCACTGGCTCAGGTTATTCCTACAGATAAAAGATGCGGGGACAGGGGATACTTCAAAAAGGATTTCTGGACTCGGTATCAAAATTTAACCACACCAGCCGGAGGCGTAACTGGGCAAGATGGCTTTCTGGCGCCCTCCTAACTCTGATGGTGACTCTCTTGCTGTGGCCACGCAGGGCCCCAGCCTGTCTCCCCGACGTGGCCCTGCACCTTGATTTCCTCCGTAGAGCCTCAAGCCACCAAGGCCTGGGGACACCTATTCCCACTGGCTCCAGACAAGGGCAAAAGCGAACACAGCTCAGGACTTATCTCTCAATCAGTGAGAAAGGCTGACTTGAGAGGCGCCTGGGGGGCTCAGTTGGTCAAGCATCCAACTCTTGGTTTCAGCTCAGGTGGTGATCTCACGGTTTTTGAGTTTGAGCCCCGGGTTGGGCTCTGTGCTGACCATGCGGAGTCTGCTTGGAATCCTCCCTCCCTGTCTCTGTCACTCCCCATTTTCTCTCTCTAAATAAATAAACATTAAAAAAATTAATAAAGGCTGACGTAGAAAGGGGTGCACGCTGTAGGGTGTACGACCCAGGAGCAGGGAGATAAGTAGAAAGGGAAATTCCAGCAGCCAGAATGTCTGGTCACAGCACCAGCAGCCAGGAGTGCGCTCTGCGGGTGGCAGCAGGGCGCTGCCTGGGCTCCCCGTCACATCATACCCGAAACTGGGGAGCAGTCTTGTTTTGAACGCTGTGTCACATATAAAAATCCACCGTAAGTCACACGTGACGCAGAAGCTGCAAATTTCCTTGATGCACTAACGCCATCTTTGTGTTCTGGAAACCTCTGATGTCAGGTGCCTAGGCGCCTGCCCCCCCCCCCCCCCCCCCCCCCCCCCCCCCCCCCCCCCCCCCCCTCCTGTCCATTTCCACACCTGCGGTTCAAATGCTGCAGGTGTGGTCACTCAACCTCCCTGGGCAGTGTGACCCCTGCCCCCGCAGGACCGACAGTTTGCCTCCTCTGGTTCACCAGGAAGAGGTCTCAGCAACGTGTCCCACCTTGCGTCTCGCTTCCTGACACAGAGTCAACCGCAGACACAAAATTCGTACAAGTCACACGCATGAGAAGACACGTCTGGACAAAAGCTCTAAAATGTAACCTGAAAAATGTCACATTTTAGCTTTTGTGCCATATTGTCCTAAACTATCCAGAACCTAAAGGGATATTTTTGATATATTGGAAAAAAGACATCTACTAATTTTGCTCTCTTTCCTCAGACACCAATGATAGGTGATGAACTTTTTAAGTGTTAATAAGACTAAAATGGCCTTTAACAGATTATGTGGTTCAGTCAATTAAAATGAAGCAAGAATGTATCAAAGTTGCTGAGACAGATGAATTCTAGTGCTTGATGATGACAATATAATACCAGGTAGTCATTCTGTTGGTTCTAAATATTTCACATAAAATACAGTGAACTTTCAGATAGGAAAAGACTTGACTATTGCCTAGGATTTTTTTTTAATAGCCTGGATTTTGATTGAGACGCCCATTTCTCTTTGGTGGGGCACTGATTTTCCAACTGATTCCATCAGGAATGAGTCCTAGCTCCAACTCCTTATTGTCCACAGGGCTTAGTCCTTACGTAATAAGATAATACTTTAACTGCTGCTTAAGGTCAGCGATGGTTCAACAAAATAGGCTGGGATGTTTCACGTTGACCCTCCCAGGAGCCGAGAAGAAAGAGAAACCATCACTTACACAGGTAAAAAAGCAGGATCTTTTTTTCCCCCATCTTCCTATTTTTGTACTTTTGTTTTCCTTAAAGTAATTAGTTCATGAAACGAGTTTCAACAGCAGAAGGTGGGCGTATCCTAAAGGCTTCTGGTTGTTTTTAAAACCATTACGTTGTCCACACGCCCCCCCCCCCCCCCCGCCGCAGTGTGCCCACCCCAACCCCCAGGGTGCTTCATGGTTAGGTTGTTGGAAAGATCAGCTGGACGCCGAATTACCCGGAGAATCTCACCCCGTAGCCCCTTGCCTTCCCCGGAGGGGGCTTCTTCTCAAAGTAAAATGACAATCTTACAAAAATCGCAATGTACTTAGCTGAGCTCATTCCTCAAAAGCAATGATAAGGGGCTCAGAGAAGTCTGAAGTTAGGAGGGATGACAGATGCCTGCCAGCTCTTTCAGGAAGAAGACAGAACTCCCGGAGAAAGGAGATCCCGTGCTATTTTCCGCTCCTCGTTTCCACAATAAATTGTGGCTGAGGCTGAGCTCCTCCCCACCAGCAGCCTTGAACACACCCTAAGGCCCTGTCTTTTCAAAACCACACTGGGCACGGATCCCTGGGTCACAACAAACCAAATCCAAAACCAAACACCTTCTTGCTCCTTGGTGGTGGTTGAGTGATTTTATGAATATTATTAACGTATACTTGTTACCTGGGCAAACACACGGCCTGTAAAATTACATTTATTGTAAACCGTAGAGAAGACACAACACAGGTCGATGGGCAGAAAATCCCATACGGAGTCTTAGTCACTTATTAGACTGACCTTCCCAGCTGAAGCGGTGGGACGTACCTGCACGCCTTCAGGAGGGGCTCGGTGGGCGGGAAGATCTGGGTGAGGGTGGTGTAGCAGGGGATGGCCACGGCGTTGTAGAAACCCAGCTGGCCAGGTGCGGAGCCATGGGCAAGAAGACACAAAACTGCACGTTAGCCATTCTTGTAGATGCTGCTTCTCAACTGAAGCTTCTACTCCTCAAGCCTAACTATGGACTCAACTTTCTAGTGCCGCTCTGTGATATCTGGACTGGACAAACACTGTAGTAGGGGGCATTCAAAACGTCTTAAAGTATTTTTTGCAATAACGCACATAAAGAATGGTTAATCTGAAACCCAAGTACAACATCCAGTGAGGCTCCATTTACGGATCGGTCAAGTTATCATTCAAGTTCGTTCTTGTTGCTGCTCAAGGTTTTCTTTTTTTTTTTTTTTCTTCTGAATGTTTATTTTTGAGAGGGAGAGAGGGAGGGAGGGAGGGAGAGAGAGAGAGGGAGGGAGAGAGAGAGAGAGAGACAGAGAGAGAGACGGAATGTGGGAGGGGGGCAGAGAGAGAGGGAGACACAGAATGTGAAGCAGGCTCCAGCCTCTGAGCTGTCAGCACAGAGCCCGAGGCAGGGCTGGAACCCATGAACCATGAGATCATGACCTGAGCTGAAGTCAGATGCTTAACTGACTGAGCCACCCAGGCGCCCCAAAACGTTACTTTTCTACCACAGGCAATTCAGAGTCAAACATGCTCTTCTTCTACACGGCGGCCTCTTCTCCAGCTTAATATTTGGGATTCAGCACCGGGTATTTTGTGGGTTTGTTACCCTTGGCTGTTGGTGCCTTGTGTGGTTTCCTGAGACCTTCTTCATCTCCCTCCTTCCCTATTTTTGACCTACAACCAATCTCACTGACTGTATCACAGTTCTTCTCAGGTTACAGTTCTTTTTTTTTTTTTTTTATGTTTATTTTTGAGAGATAAAGAGAGAGAGAGAGCAAGCCTGGGAGGGGCAGAGCGAGTGGGGGGCAGAATCCCAAGCAGGTTCCCTGCTGTCAGTGGATCTCATGAACTGTGAGATTGTGACCTGGGCCCAAATCAAGACTCCGATGCTTAACTGTCTGAGCCACCCAGGTGATCCAGGTTAAAGTTATTTTAATACACCAGATTTCACAGGTTTTGATCTCCAGCACTTTAAAAAATATATTAAAGGACATTTTCTTAGGAATTTCAGGGCATAGGAGGAATAAACGCTGCTATCCCAGACTGGCCTACTGAAGGGCAGATGAAAAAGACCCGCTGCAATGTTAGCAGAGAACACTGTTACAAATCACTGCCAAGTGGCTGACAACGTGGACAAGATATGACTGGCTCTTTGGGTGAGGTGACCCCCCAAACCAGGGCTTACCAAATTCCTCAAAAAAAAAAAAAAACCCACTGAACTTCAGCGAGATGCAGCCCAGGTACAGACGAACAGACTCTTGGAGGTGCTTACTGTCTGTCTCCTGCGGGGGGAGGTCCACCTCACCAGAACCTTACTAGACAAATGCCTTTGTGTTTCTGTCCTTAACTCTGTAACTCACCCAGGGGCGTTTCTTATTTTAATATGTTTAAAAAAAATTTTTTTTAGCATTTATTCAGTTTTGAGAGACAGAGAATGAGTGGGGAAGGGGCAGAGAGAGAGGGAGAAACAGAATCTGAAACAGGCTCTGAGCCATCAGCACAGAGCCTGATGTGAGGCTCGAACCCACAAACTGTGAGATCATGACCTGAGCTAAAGTCAGATGCTTAACCGACTGAGCCACCCAGGAGCCCCTCTTATTTTAATATTTTAAGCAGCTGTCCTGGAGCAGAAGATCTTGAGAAAGAAATATGGGAAAGCAGAGTATTTTATTATTATGGCAAAGAATAATTTAATGTTAATCCCAATTCAGAAGCAACGCAGTTGGTAAAATATTAGCTATTCACAGAAATATTTTATTTAACACTCTCTCATACTATAAATGGATTCTGCAATTTTGGCAAAAAGCCAAACTCTTGTCTTACTGAATGGTGTGGGGACGGAGGCCCATTCTCCAGCGCCACTTCCAGCCATCCTGGGCATTTTGCTGGGACGAAAGCTTAACTCTCCCGAAAGCAGAACTTTGTTAGGAAGACACCTACTAGTACAACTGCTAGATCATAGGGTAGTTCTATTTTTAACTTAAAATTTTTTTTTAATGTTTATCTACTTATCTACTTAGAGACGGAGAGAGAGCACCAGTAGGGGAGGGGCAGAGAGAGGGGGAGAGTGAATCCCAGGCAGGCTCTGGTGTGGTCAGAGCAGAGTCAGATGCCTCGATCTCATAAGCTGTGAGACCATGACCTGAGCCGAAATCAAGAGTTGGGATGTTTAACCAACTGAGCCCCCCACGCACCCCTTTAACTTTCTGAGGAGCCTCCACACTGTTTTCCAGAGCGGCTGCACCAGTGTGCATTCCCAGCAACAGTGCGTGAGGGCTCCTCTTTCTCCACATCCTCGCCAACACCTGCTGATTCCTGTGTTGTTCATTTTAGCCACTCTGACAGGTGTGAGGTGGTATCTCAGTGTGGTTTTGATCTGCATTTCCCTGATCAGGAGGGATGCTGAGCATCGTTTCATGTGTCTGTTGGCCACCTGCATGTCTTCTTTGGAAAAGTGTCTATTCATGTCTTCTGCCTATTTCTTCACTGGATTATTTCTTTTTTGGGGGGTGCTGAGTTTGGTAAGTTCTTTATAGATTTTGTATACTAGCCCTGTCTCAGACACATCATTGATACAAAACTACTATGAAGGGGCCCATGCACCCAATGTTTATAGCAGCACTATGAACAACCACCCACTTATGGGAAGAGCCCAAATGTCCATCGACTGATGAATGAATAAAGAAGATGTGGTTTCTATACACAATGGAATACTATTCAATCATCAAAAAGAATGAAATCTTGCCATTTGCAATGACATGGATAGAGCTGGAATGTATTATGCTAAGCAAAATAAGTCAGAGAAAGACAAATGTCACAAGATTTCACTCATATGTGGAATGTGAGAAACAAAACAGATGAACATGGGGGAAGAGGAAAAAAGAGATGAGAGGGAAACAAACAATGAGAGACTCTTAATGACAGAGAGAACACTGAGGGCTGAGGGACAGGGGGTGGTGGAGGGTGGGCTAGATGGGGGATGGGCATTAAGGAGGGCACTTATTGCGATGGGCACTGGGTGTCGTATGTCAGTGACGGATCCCTGGGTTCTACTCCTGAAACCAATATCGCCCTGTATGTTAACTAACTAGAATTTAAACAAAAATTGGAAGAAAAGAATTTTGTTAGATCCCTATCTTAAGCCATTGTAGCGAGGTAAGATTAAAGGAATTAACAGGTCAAACATGAAGCAATGAAACAAAGGGTGAGGGAAGAAAACAGAGGCAAATGCTTAGATAATCACACGGTGGGTGGGACAGAGTGAGCAGAGGCCGGAGAGGGCAGACAGGGCCCGACGTGGGAAAGCTCCATAAACAATATTCAAAAGACACTAAACTGTAAAATGCACACGAGACAGGCCCATAGGTGCGTGTTCAGTAAGGAAGAACAACAGGAACCCCATCTGCAATGCTGGCGAAGGACGCGAGCACCCCACGGACGCGGGCAGTGAGGAGGAGAACACCGGAGACCTTCTCTGCGCTGACTTCCTAGAAAGACTGGACTCGCCTGAACTGTTGTATTAATAGTTAACCAGCTTTAAGTAGGAAAACTTTAGAACTTGTCCAAAACCATCATCCTGTGCATTTTCTCAAATGTTTTCTAGGGGCTCCTGGGGGACTCAGTCGGTTGAGTATCCGACTTCGGCTCAGGTCATGATCTCGTGGTTCGTGGGTTCGAGCCCCGTGTTGGGCTCTGTGCTGACAGCTCAGAGCCTGGAGCCTGTTTTGGATTCTGTGTCTCCCTCTCTCTCTCTGGCCCTCCCCTGCTAATGCTCTGTCTCTCTCTGTCTCAGAAATAAACTATTAAAAAAAACTAAAAAAACCCCAAATGTTTTCTAAACTAAGTATTATAACTTTTTGTCCATAACTAACTTCCTCCTGACGGTGTTGGAAGCCTGGCAGTTTTGAAAGACTGTAGGCTGAGAAGAACGCTGCACCATGCCTGCTCACGTGTAGAGCTGACAAGGCACCGAGCTGTCAAAACATTGCAAAACTGACATAAACTATGTGGTAAGACCTGAAAAAATAATAATTAATGTCAACGGACGGTAAGAGAAAACTCAAAATGTACCAGAATGCGGTACATTCCGTGTTAGGAAACGTGGACCTGATCAAAATCTGTAACGCTTCTCTCTAAAAGCTAGCTTCACACAATGACAAAAGGCTTTCTGCTTGTTAAACATGCTAACAGTCCAAATTCATCCACTCTTCTGTTTCAAGTCACCGATACCTGCGCTTACATCTGTAGAAAGAACTGAAGGCAAGGGCAGTTGTGGATTCCCGAAATCAACTAGAATTTCCTAATCCGGGTCTCGCTGTCCCCAAACCCCACGCGAGGGGAGAAGACTTCCGGGCCCAGGCTCCACAGGATGGGGCATCCTTTCTGTGCACGGACGGCCTCCTGAGCGCCTCCCACCGTCTGCCCCCGCAGGGGGACCCATACCTGGCCCTGGGGGACCTCGTCCTTCTTGTCTCTGTCCATCATGGGGATGGGCTGGATTCCCAGCTTCTTCATCTCGTCACCCTGCGACAGACATGGAAAGCCAAGACTTCTCAGCTTATCAGCAGCCTCAAAGTTTTGCTATTAACGAGTTGCTCCCTTTATCCATTAATTTTCCTCAAAATGCATAACGGCTCTGGCTATCGATCCATGTAAATGTCAAACTTAATTAATTAAGAAACTTAATGTGTCGTCTGGCTTTTACCCCGATGCCCCCTCTCCTGGTTCTGCTGTGCGGAAGTTGGTGCTAGTTCTAACGGGAGGAGCACAGGAACCAGGGAGGAGCAGCGAGGGGAACAGAACACCTCGCCGCCTTTTCCCCACTTACGTTTCGAGTGAGTTTTTGTGCATGTTGAACTGGGTGAAGCGAGGCTCTGGAGAGGAGCAGTGAGGCTTTAGCGAGAAATGTTGTATATCAAGAATCAACATGAGCCTGCTAAAACCGGTTATGAGAGACCCGGCGTAACTGGCTGTAAGCACCATAAGGCTATAATCACAGATGTTTATGTTAAAGATCTACTATGCTGCACCCTCTGGGATAAGTACCTTGTGGATATTATTTCATTTATTCTTCAGGGAATACTAGGAGTTAAAACTTATTGTCCCCATTTTATAGATTTTAAAAATCATCTTCCTCTTTTTAGTTATTTGTTAAAGATCGTTAAAATCTTTCTTACTATATCCCAATCTTTTCTGTACTTCCCACTATCCCTCACATGTCTTAATTATTCTCTGATTTTAATTACTTGACAGTCATGCTTATTTTTAGATGTCAGAGGCACAGAACTGAGAACATCCTAGATTTGCTAAAGGTAGGGTCTGGAAACAAACAACTACAATGCTAAGAATTCTGGGTGTGGGATGAAGGAAGTTGTTCTAAGGACATGAAGGCTCTGGAACACAGCTCTGGCTCTAGTGTTATCACTTTAAATGTTAACGTCAAAGGCTCTTGAACTTTTTCCTTTTCCCTCGTGAGCGGGTGACGCCAGCCGGGGCCCTTGCTCAAGGATATTACGAGTCCCGTAAGTGAACAGACCTTGACGGAACAATGACCTATGTACTGTGCTCCCAGATCAGGACACGTGCTGAGCAGGAAGACCGAGGGCTGTGGGGTGGACACCACAGGGATGCGCTAGGGTGAGGCCTGCCCAGGAAGGCTGCAGGCGGCAGGGCGGTGCCCAGAGGGACTCGGGTCAGGGAACCCAGACGGGCTGAGACGTGGAGTAGCCTGGGGGGCAGCAGGCTGTGCAGATCAAGTTCATGACGTCGGCCTTTATCACGGCGGCACGCAGGGACAGACTGGGAATGGCGCTAACATGGCCACGAGTCATCCCCAGCCTGCAGATGTGGCCACTGAGGCACAGAGACAGGCGGGGAAGCTGGCCTGAGGCTTCGTTCCCAAGTACGAAAGCAGGATTCTCACCTCAAGCAGCAGGACCGCAAAGAGCAGCGACAAGGCAAGGACCCCGTTTAGAACGCTGCAGTGCTGTGGGCACGGGGAGGCGGAGTCCTGGAGTGGGGTTGGGGCGGGGGGCACGGTGGGTGCTGGGCAGAGCGGACCTAGCGAACCCCTGGGAGGTCAGCGGGCAAGACGCAGGGACGACAGCAGCTTCCTCCCACGGACTACGAGGTCCTTGAAGACGGCCTCCCTGAGCACCCTGGGAGCTTAGTCAATCTTTGTGGACTGTTTAATCCGTGCAGAATAGAGAGGGGAAGAATCTACGTCGTCCGTCACACATTCATCCACATGTTAGAATACAAACATAGTTACTAAAGTGTGGATTATAGCAGTTAAATAAAATTATCTGCAAAACAATAAGCTAGCTTCAGACCAGCTTCCTCGGGTGCTATTCATAGAACGTGCCCCACGGTACTACTCTTAGACACACAAGCAAACTAAGTGGGCTGAGAATAAAGTCAGCGGTTACAGCGTAGATGTGCACATCTAAGACAACCTTCCTGATTGAGCCTGGTAGTAATGAGGCTTTGGGATATATGTTATAAAATAAGGGGAAAAAACACCATGCAAGAGTATGTACACACAATGAGGAAGGCATTCCAGGGAAATAACACGAGTAGAATCAGTTCGAGGTCTGTGGTCCTCACCCAACGAAGATTCTTCTCTTTGCCATCGTGAAAACAAGTTAATGTTATCAATCGTCTCTAAACTTTCAATGGAATGATTTTCTGGTTTTTGCTCTTTACATCCATTCTTTAATATGGGTGAGGCTGATGGTTTGAATCAGCAACTACCAAACTCTTCACCCTCCAAATTTAATTTTGTCTTTAAACCAAATGAGGTATGCAAAGATTTTGTTTCACCACCTCCACCAATCTATGAATATGCAGGGGCCTAGCTATTTGTGGATTCATTTGAACAAGAGAATATTCTACTTAGCTCTGGAAAGTTCTGAAAGAATTTGAGAAATAAAACACACATTTCTGATAATTTAGATAATTCAGTCAAGAAAAGGTATTCATTAAAGTAATTTCCACGGTTGTTTCCCATATCAGCAGTTTTATGAGTTAAAATCCCACATGTTCTGAAGAACTCATCATTTGCAGCTGAATTAACCCTCTGGTATATTCACAGATTCTCACACTGTCTGTGGTACATCATCTCCCAAATTTCTAGCTGTAGACACACACAACAGGTGACACGGAGGGACTCACAACACCATGGGCTGTACGTCTGCGCAAATGTCTTTATTATCTGCGTAGAAATGCTAATTCCTCTACCGCATGCGATTGACAATCGTTTTCTGAAGGAACTGGCACCCTGAGCCCCTAAGATACTGTTACTTAAGTACCCACACATTTACGTTCTCAGCCAATTTGTTCTCATTTCCACGTTCACGTAAAAATCGAAAACATACCTCAGCCCAGAACTCTGCATATATATCATTTGCTGTCAATTTTGTAACTGGCCACAGTTTTGTTACGGAACAAAGATCACAGGCAGTCATCATCAAACCAATGACACGGTCTCTAGAAGAAGAACAGAAAACAGGTCAGCGTGGCTTTCGCAATACAGGTGAGAAAGACCCCTCGACCTCAGGATTAAAAGGCTTAGAGTAGGCACTGCTTTACGACAGGACGAGGAGGGGCTGAAGGTGCAAAACCAGGGGCGGGGACTTAAGTGGAATTAAAGAGCAGAGTTGGCCAAACTGGAAGGACATGGGTCACCTCTGTCACTGGCCCGGGAAGGGCTTGGCACATGTCCGGCTGCCTCGGTGCTGCGGCTGAAATCAGAAACGACGTGGGCACGTGGCTGCACGTCCCAAGCCCTCTGCTGTGCTTGTACAGCTGTGGGCCGGAGTCTCCCTCCCACGGAGTTTTGGAAATGTACGGGGCCGAGAAACCTTAAAGAAGAAAATCTACCCCAATCCTTTTGTTTCTCTAAGAAAACCGTGAGGTGCAAAGAGAGGAAATGAGGTCCCCAGGGCGTGGGCAGCTGGAGCCCAGGCCGGAGTGACGCAAGTCTGTCCTCCCCTCTGAGTCCGGGACGGGCGCCTGGGGAGCAGCTCTGACCCCCGCGTGCAAGCAGCTCTTTCCCAGCGGCTTTGCATCCACTCTCCGACTTCCCTTTTCTAAATACAGTTTGGTTTCATCTTTTCTCTTGAAGATTAAGACAACGCTGCTTAAGGCCTCCAGCGGACGTCCGCCCTAGAATCTCAATGGATGTGGTCCAGACACATGTGTTTACCCTGAAGGAAGCCTACACTGAGGGTTGCACTAACCGCTAAGTAGTGAGGAATTTTAAAATGCCGACTTTAGCTTTTATGAAGCAAATTACCCAATTTTAAAAAGGCCAACTGTGAAGACACAAAACTGTGTAGCAGGTGAGATGTTGCCGTTTCCAGCTCATTCCATTGGAATCCATGGCTCCTAAAGGCTGCCTGGCTTCTTGTGGCTCAGACGGTCCCCTGCGGGGGCAGAGTTCAGCCCCACCAGGCACACGCACGAACACCTCTCTGCTGCATTGGCAGGGTCTCTGATCTAGTGGTGCCCGTGTACACGATTCCTGGATGTCTGTGACCCGCGTCTGGGATGCCCATCACTCACAACGTTCCCTAATTTCCTATCAGCCACTTCCTTTACGCCATTTGCCTCATTAACAATCTCTTCTACCACTTTACTTATCATGAGAACACGTCTCTCCTGGGGCAGAATGAATAACTTCAAAACCATTGATGAGACTTCTGTGTATCCTTCCTATGACCCCAAACAGATGTCATGTGACGTCCCAAACCCCTTAATGTGATCAGGAAAGTTCAAATTTTCTTGATGAGCTAGTTTCCTAATCATTTTGTGGTTTCAAGTAAGAATATTTCTGGATTTGGGCTTCTAAATGAGTGAGTTTATTATCTGCTTATTCAACAGGGAAGTTCATTAAACAGAAATAGAATGTGAAATAAAACAATTATTCTGTTTCATAAGATTGAAATAATCCAATCTCATTCTATCTATATTCACATATATCTCAACATTTCCTTCTCTTGCCTAAATATTCTAATAAGCTTCGTCTCAAAAAAGATTTTCTATCTCATAAATCTATTAAACAAGATACGTTAACAGAACTAGAACTGGGCACTGTAAAACACAAGGAATCAATTTTCTCTGTGGACAGGATTTCACGGGTGGCGTTGCTACTCTTAGGGTTGAAAAGATTACGACCCAGTTGTCATTCAGATGTCACTGTCAAAACAACTTAGAGAAAACAACCTAAGAGTAGTGATTTTACTGGTAACCAAATAAATAAATAAATAAACAGATGAAAAAAATTTAATTAAATGCCTTTAATAAATAAAATTACTTATTTTCACTCTCAGTGACAAATCAGTTAGATGGTCATGGTTATCTGGAAATATTAATGTGAATTGGAAATCATTTCATTTCTTTCCATGAATGGGATACAGGCCTAACGGGGACAGATGACTGATTCATAATGCATTCTAATAACCAATGGTGAAAGGGACGGAGTTCGTGGTTAAGTGTGCTGTTGGTGTGATCTTACGTAACCTCGTCACTGAACGCGGGATGAGGCTAACGCAATGTCCATGCTACGGATGATTCCTTGGTAAGTAGTGTCAGGGGGTTTGAATACATTTACTTCCAAATTCTGAATGCCTCTACATATCAGGCATAATTCTAGTAATGAACCAAATAGAACTAACATTCTAATAGGGAGAAGCAGAAAATAATGTCAAATATTGCATTGAACAAGTTTGTAAAAGATGTTTTAAGAAGCAAAACCATGAGAGAGTCCCAACAGGGAGGAGTCGGTGTTCAAGTCCTAATGTGTCAGGAACAAGTGTGGTGTGTTTGAGGAATGACAGGCCGGCCTGGCGGACGCGAGGGGCTGCCCCGTCTGGAGACAAGGCGGGAGCGTGTTATTCCAAGTCAGATGTCAGACAGTGGAGGTTGTGAGCAGAAGGGTGACACGCTCCACGTTGTGGGGAGGTCGTTGTGGACAATCACACGCACAGCTGTAGGGCAAGAGTGCGAGGGGCCGCTGAGGAGAACACAGGGGTCCAATGACAGCAGTGCGATTCGATGGCCGCAGTAAAGGCCGGGAAGGGAAAGGAGGGGGCTCCGGAGGTCGGAGGCAGAGCCAGGCTGAAGTATGCGAACGTCTGCAGGAGTTATGGTGACAGAGCCCCCCCTCCCCCTCCCTTCTCCTCAGCCCCACGCACCATCCCAGACCAGGAAGGGTAACTAAAGACGCAGGGTGTCTGCAGGGGTGCTGACATTCTGACCTGAAAGTGAGCCCCTTGCACCAGGGGGCACATCTGTCTTCTCGGAGCCACCCTACCTTAGAATTCTCTCCCCACATCAGAAGGCCACAGAACTTGACACCGGTGGGTGAGCGATGGGCAGAAAGGAAGCCCCAGCTCTCCCATACTGCCCCCAGCCCCCTCCGGGCCCCCGTTCTCTATAACGTTCATCAGTCAAGGATACGATGTCCTATTGGAAGAAAAGTAGAAACACACGGCTGGACCAAATGGACCAGAATTGACTTTATAAGAGATTTCAGGTAGAGACGTGGAGAAATATAAAGAATGAATGCTCATATGATTATTATTATAATTCTGCATTTGTGTTAGCATCTGGAATTCAAGAAGATTGAATGGCTGGGTCAATTTCCACAGCAAGCTGAGAATGGAAGGGTCAGTAACTAATTCTCCACCATCACTGCTCCCTATAGGCTCTGACCTCATTCCAGACTCCCAAATAGCTACTAACCTTTCAAGAGAGAAAGAAGTGAAAAAAAATTGTAGCCCAGTTTGAAAACACAGTAACTTTACCTACTTCCATACAAGCTTATCAGCCAGGCTCCTAACATGAAACAGACCCCACGCCCAAGGGGACCGGAGGACAGCGGACGGGAATGTCCACAAAGGCAGGGACAGGTGGAAGGGAGGCCAGGTGTGCAGTGGCGCTGAGGGTCGGTGACAGCAGGAAGGGACAGGAGAGGCAGCAAGGCCTGATCTGTCCCCAGAAGCACTGGGACGCCAGGGACGCATGGGATGGAGCCGGGGGAGCGGACGACACACCGACTTCTCTCTCCTCCCCTCCCTGAGATCCTGCCGATGGACCAGTCGCTGAATCCAGACAGAAGCTGGAGGGAGGGCCAGGGCGCTGGGCGACCCGGCCCTTAGAGGACAAAGTGGTCAGTGGATGTGGGGGCCCAACAGCAGCTCCCCGATGACAGGAATGCCCCAGAGGGGACAGCGGAAAGCTGTGGTTCACATGGAAAAATATGCCTGAAACTCAAACAACTTAAATATCAAATTGCGCCTCTTCACTCACGTATCCATATGGCATGGAGACAGAAAAATGGGTTTAAAGCCAAAATTTTCTTCTAATCTAAGAAAATCTACTCCATTTGTGTTAGGGGACCCAGGTTAAAGCGTCTGGAAGCCCAGCACAAAACTGCCAGGGAAAACAGAAAAACGAAAGAGAGAAAAGCAAAGAAATACATGTCTGCTTATCTTAGAATGCACGTGCGCGCGCGCGCGCGCACACACACACACACGCACACACAGGGCTGACCGGAGATTTCTATTACGAGGGAGTCTTAATTGTAAGTGGGACAGTGGTTGGGGAAAATGGTGTCAAATAAGTAAAAAGCAAGCATTTGGGGTATGCAACAGTGGATGTTTTGTTCAGAAACTATTCTAGTTCACTTTACCTCCTCCGTTTCACTTTATTTGCTTTTTATTTTTTTAATGTTTATTTTTGAGAAAGAGAGAGAGAGATTGAGAGAGAGAGAGAGAAGGACAGGCAGTGTGAGCAGAGGCAGACAGACTCTGAAGCAGGCTCCAGGCTCCAGGCTGTCAGCAGAGCCCAACTCGGGGCTCGAACTGATGGACTGTGAGATCATGACCCCAGCTGAAGTCGGATGCTTAACTGACTGAGCCACCGAGGAAACCCTCTCCATTTCATTTTAAAATCAGATCATACATATTTGAAAAGAGACTAAGTTAAATCACTTTCCCCTTAAATTATCATTTTACTGATTCTTTCTATTTTTTTTTTTTAAATATTTTTATTTATTTCTAGGAGAGAGAGAGAGACAGCGTGAGCAGGGGAGGGTCAGAGAGAGAGGGAGACACAGACTCTGAAACAGGCTCCAGGCTCCGAGCTGGCAGTCAGCACAGAGCCCAACGCTGGGCTCGAACCCACGAACCGCGAGATCATGACCTAAGCGAAAGTCGGACGCTTAACCGACTAAGCTACCCAGGCGCCCCTCTATTGTTTTTTAAACTTATCTACAAGGAATTTTAAATCACATTATCAGTTACCTTAGATAAATCATGGTTACAATAACTACTGTACTCCTCTAATAATATGGCCCATTTTGGCTATTTATTAAATAGTAAATCAGACTCAGGATGCTATAGATTCTCTGAAAAAATATGAACAGCTGGAGAGCCAAAACCATAGAAAAGATGTTTCAGTGACACAAATAATACAAATAGCTT